TATTTATTATAGTATATATATTATAGTATGTAATTATATTATTATGATCAACCTGATACGAGTCAATGGATACAAAATAATGGATTTGTAAAAGTAGTGTTTAGTCGTGTTTCACTCTGCATAAACTGTCACGTCTCAAACGTCCAGGGTAAAATGATGAATACATATTTGTGCATGCAGGATCTGATGGCATCGGCTGACGGCGGGGGGCGCAAACTCCACCCAGCAGATAGGATCTCGGGCGGGCGGAGCGGGTAGCAGCTTGCGCCGAAAGGGCTCGGGCTGGTTGGTCGGGACGCTTGACAAGTCCCGCTGAAAACTTCAGAGGAGGCAAAGTCCAGCCTGACTGCGAGGGAGACAGAGTGGAAGTTAACGTGAGAGAGCGTGCTGGGGGAGAGAACACAAATCGCATGTATTTTTAAAGAAATGCTCCAAAGATGGCGGTGGTAATAACGACGGGGGTTTCAGGTGCCTTCGGAGTCCAAAAAAGTGGATTTCTTGAGGTTTTGGTGCGGGAACGGTGGCACAAAGTTTTGGTCAACTTAAACGAGGAAGCGCTCACGTTAAGCTGCGAGGAGGGCTGCGTTAATAACGACAACGTGAATGACAGCGTCAACTCCAACGGCGTTACCAACGGATCTTACCTTGATAACAATAACGCCAACTCCAACAACGGTCCCCAAACTGTGCGCACCGTGTTCTCGGACCTCCCGGAGCGAGTGCCGGAGGCGATCGCCAACAGAAAGCGGTGTCTTAAGGTGACCAAGCAGGAGGTCGGAGGGCTTGGGATCAGCATCAAAGGTGGGAAGGAGAATAAAATGCCCATCCTCATCAGTAAGATATTCAAGGGACTCGCAGCGGACCAGACACAGGCTCTGTATGTCGGGGACGCCATCCTGTCCGTGAACAGTGTGAACCTGCGGGACGCGACCCACGACGAGGCTGTGCAGGCGCTGAAACGGGCCGGGAAAGAGGTGACACTGGAAGGTAGGTAGGCAGGCTGGACAGACATGCGTGTGTGTGTGTGTGTGACAGAAACAAGAGGGGACCCAAAGGTGAAGTATGTGGGTTAGGGAATACCGCATGCATGACCCAACTCACTTTATAAACTCCCACAAGATAAGGTTTAGGAAGCCCACATCTGAGTGTTGATATTGATATCTTTTAGTGAAGATAAGCGTTTTGGACCTCAGTTCAGCCAAAGTCCTTCTGCTTTCTGCCTCATTTTTTATGGAACCCCAATATAACCAGACTCAAAGATCCCTAAGGGAACTGTCCACCTTAACACACACGGGAAGCCCAATACTTCAGGGAAGGAAACATGCTTTATAAAAGGCTGATCTTCTCATCCCTCATGTGCTGTTTTATGCATGTCATCCAGCAGGTCATTAGTCCTCAGGATACAGAGTATTGCAACTTTTCTGTCCTACCTGCCAGTTGATTGCATTCACTTGGCGTCCCAGCTGCAAATAACTCCCTGATTAGAGGAAAAGCAGCATTGCTTTGAGTGTTGAAGCCTCTGCTGTTAGATGCGATTTACTTTCCATCAAAAAAAAAGGAGTTACTGGTTAATATCAAGAGCGAAGAAAGAAATGTATTGTTATTTTATCCATATCTCATTTCATCCAATGTGTTTTCCTGTTCATTTACAAGGTCAAAATTTGTTGTCGCCAGTCTCCCAGGCTACAAAACTGAAGTGAAACTTTTCTTCTCTGCAAATGTATTTGATTTGCAGTGCTCTACCCAATCGGGTAGCCTACGTAGTGCAACAGTGCAGGACGTCCTAGGTTTATTCCATAGTTGGGAAACAGGTGAATGACTGGCTGCCTTTTTGCACAAAAGAACAGTTGAGATTTAGAAGGAAACTGTTATTATGCAACCAGAAGTGCCATGGGAGAATCATGCTAGGCCACCCCCACACACACACACACACACACACACGTTTGCAAGCACAAAAAAACACACGTTCACACACCAGAAAATGTTGCACACAAGTGCCCACTTCTGAGTATTTTTTTCCTGTTCCTGTTAGCACTCTTGGACCCAAGACAGTAAGAACAAAGTGTCTCTCGCTCTCACTCTCTTACACACACACGCACACACACACACACGCACACTCTCACTTATATACACACTTGTGAGCATGGTGATGATACTTCCCAGGGGGACACAGGGGCTCTACTGCAGAGGAAAAATCAGGTCCCAGCTGAAAACTTACGGAGATAAGAAAGAAGGAGAGAAGGTATGAAGCAAGGCAAGGAAGACGAGGGAGAGACAGAGAGAGAGATGGGAGGGGGTCATAGCTGAAATGTGAATTTAAAGTGCTGAGAGGTAGAGATAGAAATAGACGGAACAGAAGGAGAGCTAACGAAGGAGGCTAAGAGGGTGATTATGAAGACGACAGCGAGGGTTAACTTAATAGTAACGGAGAGACTGAAGTTCTCCACAACTGCAATTTAATAGAAAAAATCTGCATTTGCCAAAGCAGTGAAACAGAGGAATATTAAAAAGTGAAACAGTGTGTTTTCAAGGGGTTTCATGGATCTCTGGGGGTGTGAAAGGTTCTTAACACGTAGCCCAGCATGTTAACTTTCATTTCAATAGAATAGGCAGTGAGCACTCACCGATGCAAGGCTGTAAGAGTGCAGCAGAATGACCCAGTGGTCAAAAGCTGAGAGGATCTCAGTTCAAGCCCCCATGTCAGAGAGCATCCGCTTTGTTAAAGTGTCCCCTGAGCAAGACGCCATCTCTTTGCTGGCTCTGTTCTGTGGCTCAGCATGCAGTCTGACAAGTCAAAAGTGCCTTTCCCGATGGGGATCAGTCAGGGTTCTGCAGCTCCGCCACAAAGCTCCTAGCAACCACAGCCACTGCCATTATAGGTGGTGCAGTGAATAATTGGTTATTCACGAGTAAGACTTCAATTAAATTTTGACGGTGAATAATTGGTTATTCACAAGTAAGACTTCAATTACATTCTGATGGTATACAGTTAGTACTTGTACAGAATATTGCTAATTCAAAGCAGTGTGTGTAGCTTGTAGAGTGCACTGCAACTTGAGAGCCACACTAGAGATAGTTATGTGAGCTAATGAGGTCCACCTGCAGCACTGCCTAATCAGGTTTACCTGTGGTCACTTGAATAGAACAAAGCCATTGTTAATGCCATTAGTCACACTTGTGCTTTTGCTATTCTTACAAGTCAAAATGTCTGCTGTGAAAAAAGGCCTATGTCACACCATTGGTAGGTGGTCGTGTGGCAAATAGGCCTTTTTCACAGAGGACATTTTGACTTGTCACAAAAGAAAAAGCCAAGCTGTAGATAATGAAAATAATAATGGCTGAATTCCATGTAGCTGCTTTGATTTCAGAATCCGTGCTGGCTCACTGTCACTGTCACTGGAACACTTACTAGTTAATGTTGCTAGTAACAGCTGTGCTTTTCCTACTATGACGAGTCAAAATGTCTGCTGTGAGAAAGGCCTATTCTCAATATAACCTGCTTCTCAGCCGCAGAACAGCGCCAGGTCACTCACGCACCTCGGTACGGTTCAAACAAAGTGCTTGCCGAGTTGTCTGAAAGCTGCACACTTTTCTGATCTTACAATTGGAGGGGGTTGCATCTGACGACTTTTACAACTTTTCCAAACTGACATATCTGAAAAGCTTGATGCAGCGATTGGACATTTTGACTTGTCGCTGTAGGAAAAAGCACAGGTGTTACTAATAACCTTAAGGTTCGCTCTGCTCTATGCAAGTGTCCCAGTATGCCATGGAAAGACCCTGAAAATGAAGTAAATATGTGGAATTCAGCCATTATGAATTTGATCATACACCTGTGCTTTACCTACTGCGACCTGTCAAGATGTCTTAAGTTAGAAAAAAAGCCCTAATGGCCAGGTGTGTGCAGGAGCGAAAGTATGCAAGATTTGGACTTCTCTCTCAAAAAGACACCGTGACCGTACTTAGTCAGCAGATGCTGCCTTCTCTTGCCAACAGCCCACAGATAACCTGTGGGATGCTGTGGATGGCAACATCAGGACACGCAACCCCTTTACCTTCCGGTGGTAAACAACTTCACAAGTCCCCGGTGCAGGAATGAGAGAGCTTTACAGGTGTCAGTCGAGGCAGTCACACGAGGATAACTGCTCTTAGTGTTCACAGCTGTCCTCGTTCTAGCCCTCGCTTCCTTTTCCTCCCCCATTGTTTTCATTTTTGTATTATTGTTTAACATAATGATGATTGGAAATTCAGTCAAACCATGTGGGTGTTAAGTTTATTTTCCCCTCAGCACAGAGAGCAATTTGATTCAAATAAAAAAGAGATGACAAATTCCTTTAGAGAATTGTGTAGCTCAATTCACTTGTGTTTACAATTAGAACTGGATTGTCTCACATGTAAAAAATATTTGTGCATATTTATATTACAAAGTGTTTTAGTGCCAGAAAGAGATACCCCACACAAGGAGAGGTCAGCTTATTTATTTAGTAACCTTTATCTGTATTCCTTGAGTCACATGACGACTGAGCAAATACTTCTCAAGGTTGACTTGCTACTAAGAGGCTAAATAGAGTAGTACAGATTGTCTGAGTAGCCAGTGGTGTTGAGAATACTCGGTATATTATTCTTTTTAAGGTGTGAAAACACTTCTTTTTTTTTTTTTTTTTTTAAGAGTAGCAGGTAGTGAAATTGACATTTTCCTGTAAGCTCTGCCCTGCGTTGTTGTTGCTGGGCCTCAAGCTTTTCTCTCTAGCACAGCCCATATGCAATAAACAGTGTAGATGGATTCACCATCGAAATTCTTAGTCATTAGACAGAGAAAAACATGCTCCTCATCTCTAGCTGGCAACTGTCGATCGGCTATTGCCGGCTGAAATACAGCTCTTGATAGCAGATTGTATCGCCTGTAGCGGGCTAGCTCGAATGAATTAATCGGATGAAGTTGCCGGCTGACTGTTTGTTTTCAGCTGACAATGAGAACCCTGTAAAAGAGATCTTTTGCTATGTGGTATCATGCTAAAAATATCTATAGCATATAATAAGCGTCTTTACGAGTTAATGACCTACATGTAACCTTAAAAAATAATGTTTGCTGTTGTAATCTAATGTAATTCTTGGCCTTGGAAATAAACCTGTAAGGTTAATACTGTACGACATGCTAATGTTTGTAGCTTACATTACAGCACACACACACACACACACACTGTTTAATCAATTCCTTACACTTTTGCTGTTGTGGTTTAGAGAGGCTAATTAAAAAGACAGACAACACTCCAGACCCTTTAAATTCGGAGTATTGCTCATACTACAACCCCACACACATCTCATGTGGAGAAATCCAAAGGTAGAGTTGCTAAGCTACTGTAAGAGTCGACAATGTTCGGGTGAGGGTTTTAGCCAACATTTGGTGTCAAATACGGGACACCATACTGAAGTAATGGAGATAGTTTTGGTTGAAACTAGCCGTAGTTACACTCTGTAAGAAAATTAAACCAGACACACAGCGTCAAACTGTAGGTTTATTTAAAAGCATCAAGATAACTCCAAAGAGCCTAAACATAAAAGTGGAAGAAATGAGGAACTGAAAGTCAGAATACAATAAAGAACATCTGCCACACGTCAGCAGACAGGAAATGAGTCAGTGTCCTGTAAGCTCCCCTGTTCACCCCCTAACAAGCCTGTCACCTGTCATCACCTGGCATCTGGAGGGGTTTGTCTGCGAGTGTGTTTATGTGCCCGCTGTCAGCAATGTGTCTAGCGTGTCTAACGTGTGTCATCAAGTTTAGTCATCAGCAGTGTAGTCTAGTCTGATGCTACAGTCGATATACTGTATGTGGTTGAGAGAGAGAGAGAGATTAAGAAAGAGAGAGCCGATGTGTCTACATAGCTGCCTGTTTATGTCATTAGAGAAACTACCCTCTCCTCTGCTACTGTTTGTGGAGTCTGACGCAGAGCAGATGATGGTGATGATGATGATGACAACAGCAACAGCGTTGCATTATTGTTGTTGTGAAGATGATACATTGACTGTTTATACAGGCAAAACAAAAGCTGAGTCAGAGAGTCAAAGCTCATCCGTTTTTTCCTGTTGGCTTTGTTTGAAGAACACAAAAACTCCTTTTCCCTCCAGGTGTAAGCATTGTGTGTTTGTAGCTGACATTGCGTTTGCTTTAGTCCTGGTTTTCTACTGATGGTCGTTATAGACCTAAACGCAAGGGTGGCTAAATACTTCACCGAAATGCTTAAATTGAGAGTTTAAAAAGACATTTATTAAGACTGTGGCCAAAAATGACCCATAATAGGAAGTCGTTATGCAGCTTCGCCAACTTGTGTTGAATCCGTGTCACTGTAGACGAGTCAACAGCATACTGTAAAAACTACCATCTGTTCACACTTTCTGTGGTTTTGAGTAAGTATGGTGGTTTCTGTTGCCAATTATGGAAACAATGGAACATGTAACACACAGCTCACTGGTTTAAAGATTGATGATGATAAAGATAATGTGTAGTGCCTTTCTCTTTTTTTTAATCAGAGTAAGTCATTGTGTGACATCCTTGCAGCATTAGGGGCGTAGTGGCCACTGCGTGTTTTGTTTCTCGTGAGCCGACATTGAGGAAATGCCTTGATTGATTTGTGTAAAGTGTAAATATGGATGATGCACTTAACATTTTTGAGGCCTGACATCTTTTGAGACGTGTACAGTAGCTCTTGGTCCTATGGAGATTAAATGCAATAATTAGGCATAAACTAAGCCCTGGCCTCCTTCGTTACTGATCACGGCACATAAACAGTCTACTATGATTTACCACTTGAAATTCTTTGATTTTTAACAATTTGTCCCTGATTTCAGACACTAGTAGAAAAGAGCAGGACTTGTATCTCTAGCTGATAATCCTTTATTGTGCTGGTAGACTTTATCAGCTTTTGGTCGGCTGGATTATTAAGCTTAAGTCATCTAAACGTCAGTATCTATTTGCTGGCCCCTGGCAGTGTGGTTGCAAATTGCAACCAACTGAATTCCTTACACTTTTGCTCTTGTTTTATTTTGTTTGTACCTCTTTAAATGCCTGGTATCTTACTCTCACTATAACCGCATGCACACCACTTCAGCATGTGGAGCCTGAAGCTTGACAGACCTGCAGTGCCTAGTAGTTATGGTTGCTAAGTGCTAAGCTGTGATTGGACAATCGCTATTCGAGAGAGGGGTTTGGTGGATAGTCCATTGTCATTTTGGAAAAAAGCATCTGCTAAATAATAATTTATGACCCTGGTGTAGCCAGCAGATATCTGGACCAATCCTTCCCTTTGCGTGTGCTGCTCGCTGTTTACAGCCCGATTTGCAACTTGAGATGCAAACTTGAGTCTGGAGTTGAGAGACGACGTGTATACAACCCGATTGTTTCACAAGTAGCCAGTTTTCAAGCTAATTAAAAAATTTTTAAAGTGCTAAATCGATGTAGCAGATAGCAGGTGGGTTTGGGGATTGCAGTTTGACCGATGCGTTCCTCCTCTTTTGCTCTCCACACAGACTCTTTACCTACATTCAACCAAAGCATCTTTTAATTGGTCAATAGTAACTGTTCAACATCAAGTTCAGAGTTCAGTGTCATTAAGTAATTCTGCCTACGCACTTTTACATTTCTTTGTCGAATTCCTTCTCTAAAAAGGGCCTCCAACTGAGTTACTGTTCATTGTTCAGTTAAGGGGACATTTGAACTCTGAGATATTGGTCCAAATCTTACAAAAAGCCTTGAGGGTGGGTTTATAAAGGCCTTTTGTGCTGCTGTGGTATCCAGCTACCTGCTGCCGACAAGGAGTAAAAGCCTTCAATCAGACGAGACTTTTCCCTCTTTTTTACCTCTTTGCCCTGCTCTGTTCTCTCTCCAGCTTCTACCAATGTTGAACCGACTTACTCCCCCACAGGCTTAATGAGAAGAGGTTTCTTTTTCCTTCGGTACATTTTCTCACCAAATAAAAATCCCCATTTGAAGCATATGGAATGAAGTCCAACGACTTGGGACCTCATTAAATACTGTTAAGGACCACTGAGTGAAAAGGACACAATGAGGCTGATATAGTAATTACACCTTGTGGTATAGAGTGGAGTGTGTGTGTATTCATCTTGAGTGTGTGTTGTGGACATAACTGAACACTTCTGAAGAAATGAATTGCCTCATTGGAAAATGTGTAAGTGAATGGGGTTGAGTGCAGTTATAAAATGAAGTGAATGATTTTTAAATATCATGAATGGAAGGGGCTTTTCTTAATGGTGAGCTGGACAGCTGGTCTCTGGTGAAGCACTGCCGTTCAGACATCTGCATCACAACTCCTGAAACAACAAGCCACTGTTTCCAAATGAAGTGGAGAGTAGGAGTCATAATCAAAAAGGTGTGTGTGTGTGTGTGTGTGTGTGTGTGTGTGTGTGTGTGTGTGTG